GCCCCGGCTCCTATTGCAGGGCTGCAAGGAGAATCCCAGCACCAGCCACCTCCCTGGGCATGGGAGAGGGGTGCTGGGTGCTGGACCCAACCCTGCCAGGGTCCCTGGGCATCAGCTGGCACTGCGACACGGTCCCCTTCAAGCCAGCCGTGGGGACACCGGGACAGAGGCTCCCTGCAAAGGCACCCGCGGTGGCACAAAGAGCTGCTGTCCCCTGCCAGCTCTTGTGCTTTCTCGCGGGCACAAAAGCCCTTTGGTGGCAGCACAGGGCTGGCGTGGGGGTGCAGACCTGCCGGCGGCCCCGTGCCAGGGGTTCCCTGCGGGGCTGATGGGGTTGTGCCCCCTGGCAGGGCCATCCCCGACGTTGTCCATCCACGTGTACACGCAGCGGGAGGTGCACGGCACCGTTGGCTCCCACGTCACCCTCTCCTGCAGCTTCTGGTCCAGTGAGTGGATCTCTGAGGACATCTCCATCACCTGGCACTTCCAAGCTGAGGGGTCCCGTGACAGCATCTCTGTAAGCGCCAGCTCCGCTTTGGCGCGCGAGGTGGCCCTGCCGTGCCTGGAACCACCGTGACCCCGATGTCTGTGTGTCTGTCCCCATCGCTAGATATTCCACTACGCCAAGGGCCAGCCCTACATCGATGATGTGGGCACCTTCAAGGAGCGGATGGAGTGGGTGGGCAACCCCCACCGCAAGGACGCGTCATCCACAACCTGGACTACACCGACAACGGCACCTTCACCTGTGACGTCAAGAACCCCCCTGACATCGTGGGCAAGTCCTCCCAGGTCACGCTCTATGTCTTCGAGAAAGGTACGGCGCCGGCGGTCCCCTTCCTCCTCAGTTTCCCTGCTCCAGCCAGGGGACCTGATGGGGCACTGGTGCTCCCACAGTGCCCACCCGCTACGGCGTCGTGCTGGGATCCATCATCGGTGGGGCTCTGCTGCTGGTGGCCGTGGTGGTGGCCCTCGTCTATCTCATCCCGCTACTGCTGGCTGCGGCGGCAGGCAGTCCTGCAGCGACGGCTGAGGTGAGCCCCACTGCCCCATCGGGGCACGACCACCCTGAAATGGGGCTGCTGGGTGGGACCAGCCTGGGGTTGGCGTTTCTGAGCTGCTTTTTCCCTTTCTGCCCCAATTTTAGCGCCATGGAGAAGGGGAAGCTGCAGCGGTCAGCCAAGGATGCGTCCAAGCGCAGTCGGCAGGTGAGCGCCGAGGGGTTGGGGGGACACAACAGCCTGGCCAGGGGGCGGCAATTCCCTCTCCTACTTTTTGGGATGGGAC